TAACAACAAATGAAATTGAAGCAAGCAATTCAAGAAGTTCCCCAAAAAGAAAGTCAGGACATGAAATGATTCTCTGGTGAATTTCTATCAAACCTTTAAAGAAGAACTGATAGCCGCCAACCCTCCTTATAACTGTTCTAAGAGCGAAATAGAAAAGGGATAGGTAAAACTGCGAACACAATTTATGAAGCCGGTATTTTACACTTATCCAAAACAGGCAAAGACACCTCCAATAAAGGAGAATAATAGGCAATCGCATTCATGTGAACATGATGCAAAAATCCTCCAAGCAAAATAATGGTCAAATCCCCGAATTCACAACACATCAAAAGATATCACCACGACCCAAGTAGGCTTCAATCCCAGGGATTGCAGGGGTAAGTTCAAAAATATGAAAATCAATTAAATTAATAACCGACATTAACAGAAGCAAAGTATAACACCACTTGATCATCTAATAGATCAGAAAGAAGCCTTTGATAAGATCCAACAAATTTCATGTAAAAGCCTCAAGAAGATCTAGGAATAGAATCGGAAAGTTCCTCAACATTAAGTATAAAGCTCTATTATGACAAACCTACAGCCTGTCCATTATACTACGGAGAAAAATCTGAAGACCATCCCCAATAATAGGAACCAGACAAGGATGCCCAACTATCTCCACTCCTATTCAACCATATGTACTGGAATCCTAGCCAGAGATTAGGCAAGAAGACGAATAAAAAGGAATACAGAACAGGTAAGAAACTGTCAAACTATCCTATTTGCAGACGACAATGATCCTATACCTTAAAAGACCCAAAAACACTTACTTCAGAAGCTTCTAGACATCATCAATAGCTAAGCAGGTCGCAGGATTATAAAATCAACATAGAAAAATTCATTAGCATTTCTATACACTACAATGAGGCAAACTGAAAAAGAATGTATGAAAACAATTCCATTTACAATAGCCTCAAAAAAATCAAATACCTAGGTGTAAATCTAACAAAAAGATGGAAAGACCTCTACAAGGAAAATATCACTTCTGAAGAAAGAGATTGAGGAAGACTTACAGGAAGGGAGAGATCTCCCATGCTCATGGATTGGTAGAATCAAACATAGTAAAAATGTCGATACTCCCAAAAGTAATCTACATGTTTAATGCAATTCCCATCAAAATGCCAAATGACATTCGTTTAAAGAGATTGAAAATCTAGCCTGTTAATTTATATGGAACACAAGAGGCCAAGAATAGCCAAGGCAATACTCAGTCAAAAGAACAATGCTGGAGGTATCACAATACCTGACTTCAACTATATTACAAAGCAATAACAATAAAAACAGCATGGTATGGCACAAAAACAGACATGAAGACAGTGGAACAGAATAGAGGACCCAGATATGAACACACAACTATAAACCAACTTCTTTGACAGAGCTAAAAATTACGATGGAGAAATAGCAGCCTCTTCAACAAAACTGCTGGGAAAACTGGTTAGCAGTCTGCAAAAAACTGAAAACTAGATCCATGTATATCACCCTATACCAAGATTAACTCAAACTGGATTAAGGATCTTAATATCAGACCACAAACTTAAAGTTGATACAGGAAAGAGTAAGAAATACTCTGGAGTTAGTAGGTATAGGTAAGAACTTTTCAACAAACCCCAGCGCACAGCAACTAAGAGATAGCATAGATAAATGGGACTCATAAAGCTAAAAAGCTTCTGTTCATCAAAAGAAATGGTCTCTAAACGAAGAGAACACCACAGAGTGGGAAAAATATTTGCCAGCTACACATCAGACAAAGGACTGATAACCAGAATATAGGGAACTTAAAAAACTAAATTCTCCCCAAAACTAATGAACCAATAAAGAAATGGGCAAGTGAACTAAACAGAACTTTCTCAAAAGAAGAAATTCAAATGGCCAAAAAACACATGAAAAAATGCTCACCATCTTAGCAATAAAGGAAATGCAAATTAAAACCAACTAAGATTCCACCTCACCCCTGTTAGAATAGCCATCATCAGCAACACCACACCAACAGGTGTGGCGAGGATGCGGGAAAAAGGAACCCTCTTACACTGTTGGTGGGAATGTAAACTAGTAAACCACTCTGGAAAAAAATTTGGAGGCTACTTAAAAAGCTAGACATTGATCTACCATTTGATCAGCAATACCACTCTTGGGGATATACCCAAAAGACTGTGACACAGGTTACTCCAGAGGCACCTGCACACCCATGTTTATTGCGGCACTATTCACAATAGCCAAGTTATGGAAACAGCCAAGATGCCCCACCACTGACGAATGGATTAAGAAAATGTGGTATCTATACACAATGGAATTTATGCAGCCATGAAGAAGACGAAATGTTTCATTCGCGTGGTAAATGGATGGAATTGGAGAACATCATTTCTGAGTGAGGTTAGCCTGGCCCAAAAGACCAAAAACTGTATTTCTCCCTCATATGTGGACATTAGATCAAGAGCAAACACAACAAGGGATTGGACTTTGAGCACATGATAAAAGGAGAGCACACAAGGGAGGGGTTGAGGATAGGTAAGACACCTAAAAAATTAGCTAGCATTTGTTTGCCTTAATCACAGAGAACTAAAGCAGATACCTTAAAAGCAACTGAGCCAATAGGAAAAGGGGAACAGGAACTAGAGAAAAGGTTAGATAAAAGAATTAACCTAGAAGGTAACACACGCAGAGGAAATCAAATGTGATCAATGCCCTGTATTGCTATCCTTATCTCAACCAGCAAAAACCCTTGTTCTTCCTATTATTGCTTTATACTCTCTTCTACAACAAAAAATTAGAGATAAGGGCAAAATAGTTTCTGCTGGGTATTGAGGGGGTTGGGGGGAGAGGGAGGGGGTGGAGTGAGTGGTAAGGGAGGGGGTGGGGGCAGGGGGGAGAAATGACCCAAGCCTTGTATGCACATATGAATAATAAAAGAAGAAAAAAAAAAAGAAATAAAAGGAAAATATAGTAAGAATTTTAAAAGGAAAGATAGCAGGAGTGATGAAGATAGAGCTGTAAGAAGGAAGGAAAGACAGTGGAAAAAAAGAC